TCAGAAAGGGGGGTGTTCCCTCCGATGGCTTTTGCGATTGGTCTGTACACCCGATCATATTCAGAGGCCCCAACAATAACAGAGGGGGTCGGAGAGGTAAGGTGGTAGGGGAGAGTCTTAGAGACTGCTCCCCTAGTGCAGTCCCCAGGGTGACCAGGGTGGGACTCTCACCGGTGACTTTAGGATCAGGAAGGAGATGTTGACGAGGTTCCTCGGGGTGAGTCGATCGATGTAGCGGTGGGGTCACGTACTCGACACAATCCCTCTACTGCTTGGCTGCAGCATGAGGAGTCCGAGGTGGAACTATTCACTAGGCTCCAAAAGGGGGGTGAGTCCCCGATTGCTAGTCTTCAGAAGGCGAAGGGATGGTGGAAGTGGCTTGTTGTGGTTGTGGAAAGCGGCTGAGGAGTTCGCTAATGAAGGTAGAGATCTGTTGTTGGAGGGAGTGAGAGATCTTTTGAGCCGTTTCTTCAAGCTGAGCTTGAGTAACGTAGCTCTGGTGTGGTCCTCCAGAGTGAGACTGATCAGCCATATCCTCAAAACCATACATACTTGCTCGAAAAAGAAAGAAACCCCTGGTGGGTGCCAAACTGTTAATGTTAATAATCACACAGATAATATAATAAGGGTAAGGTTGATTAGGGGCCGCTTACTTCTCCGAATATCTGGTTTTGAGTTGAGTAGTTTTTGTCTGCACAAATAGCAACTCGTAAGAGGACGGGGACTAACTCCCTCGTTGTTCCTCCGACGATCAGGTCAATGATGGACTTGAGTGAGAATGTGATCAACTATGTGAGTTCTAAAGTATAGTGGAGAAAAATTCTGAGATATTGCTTGCTTACCCTAATATTTGGAATAGTACCTCTATTTATAGTGATGGTAAAAGGGTAGAATGGTAATTTCGATCACGTATGGGATGGCGGCTACGTCAGGACCTGCTTTATTGGTGTCGGTCGACGAGTGGAGGAGATGTCACCTCGGTATTTAATATGATTGGAGTCATGGCAGTGCCGACGTGGTCCGATGTGTCATGAGGACTATCGGGGCTAGAGGAATGATGACATCTGTTAAGCATTTAATGTGACACCGGTGCGCTGTCAGCGGGAAAGGCTCAAGATTGAAGTCGTTCTTTGGCTTATAGCGAGGGGTGTCGAGAAGGAATGTCTTTTGAGTCGACCCTGTAAGGTGTCGAATAACTGGTCGGTTGTCGAGTGGGCTTGTAGTGAGTTGTCTTCGACAAGAGAACCGATAAGTACTGCCCTTCGAGTCGATCTAAGGAGATGTCGACTCAGCGAGTCGACTAAGTCGGGATTCTTGCTGGTCCTAACTGTCACTTTGATTTGAGCGGTGCATGTAGGGGGACATCTGTCCATTGCTGGCAAATGGTCATACTTTGGCGACTTAAAACACCATAATAGAATGTAATATCCCAATGGTCAAGAGCAATATTGATCACATATAGATTTTTCTTGATTCACACTTTTAAAATTGAAATATAAAGAAATGAATGATAAGATAAAAAGTCCTATTTTTAATCTTTAGATGGTCGAAATTTTAAATCTTTGTATATTCTCTCTAGTAAATAAATTTTAAGTTCTGAAATTTTCTATTTTATAATTTCTTGATAAATGGTTGAACATGAAGATTGAAAAATTATCTACAGCTCGTATCTCATTAAAGATATTTCAATTTATTAGAATATGGTCACAATGAAACCATATTAAAAATATTTCTAGTAATTAGGATGATTTGAAATGTAAGGAATTCTTTAGATTTTTTTTTGCAAATTTCATAAAAATTAGGCCTTTTCCATAAAATTTTCAATATTTTAAAGTGAATTTGGGCTCAAAATGTTCAATTTCTGAAACTCTTTTGGATATTTCTACTAATTTTTTTGTAGGTTGATTTTTTTTCCAACTTATGCCTTTCGGTTTACGAGTTGTGCAAATTCTATGGATCTTGGGATTTTTTTTTTTTTTTTTTCCAACTTATGCCTTTCGGTTTACGAGTTGTGCAAATTCTATGGATCTTGGGATTTTTTTTTTTTTCTATCTTGGTCACTCATGCAAAATTGGCATTTGTCTCCTTAATTATGAAAATAGTTTATGAGGTGAGCATATTTCATCATATCATTTATTTTCTTTAGTTTTAAATTTAAATATAAGAAACGAATGCTAAGATAGAGAGTTCTACTTTTTTACTTGTTAGGTACGACATTTTAATCTTTAAATTGTCAAAATGTTAAATTTTTTTATCCATTTTATCTAGTAAATAAATTTTGTAATTTCTGAGATTTTCTATTTTATAATTTCTAGAGAAGTGCTTGAACGTGGAGGAGCAGTTGCCTACAACTTAATATATAATTTTGAACATACGTAAATCAAATCAAAGCTTATATACATATTAATTATGATAGAATAGGATAATTAAAGCTTATACCCATTAAATAAGATTAATTAGGATAGAATATGATAAATAATATAATTATTTAAAGGGGTCAAGGATATTTTTGACAATCGAAAGTGTTCCCAAACTCCCACTTAAAGGGATTATGATTTTTTTCATATCATTTGGTTTTCTCATATTTGTTTTATATCCACATACATATCCAACATATATATCCACATGCATATCTGTATTCATATTAATTTTTAACAGATATGGATATGAGTTTTCCTTACCGAGACATATCTGTATATGTAACCATGACAGTTAAGCGGATAAATATATAATAAGCATCATGTCCGAACAGTATTTGAACCGTTAACACCCCCATGCCTAGCCCAACTTTGGCACGACCCAGCTTTCACCCGGCCTGCACCCGGGCCGGCTCGGCCCAGGTTTAAAAACCAGTCAAGATGGAAAGGTTGACGGAAATATTAGAAGTTGTATTTCATTACTTCCTTTATCATTTGTACAGAGCTCCGTTTATACACATAAAATTACATGGAAAGCTATAATCAAATCGCTACAAATCTGTAAAACCAAAAACTCATTTTGCTATGTCTAGGGAGATAATAGGGGAGGTCCTATTCTTTCTTCTTTTGGTTTCTCGTGTTACTATGTTTAGGGAGGTAATTGTGAAATGATGTTTGTTTCTTCTTTTGATTTCAACCTTATGTATCTTATGGGTAAAATTAAGGAGATGAACGAGGACTGTGCTGTGATTACTCTCTTGGTTAACATCCCGCATCAAATATTACCCAAAAAATGGTGACTTTTACCAAAGCTTTTCTTCCTATCTATAGCCAATGTAAGTTGACACGAAAGGATTTATGTTATAAAACTTATGGCTAAGCTAATAATTAACGATCAACATCCACACTACAGCGTGCGATTTTAAAACTTGATAATACAAGGTTGGCACCTGAGTTAACATTTTTGACTCCTAACAAAGTTCGCCCAATTAGTCTATAACACTTAAAGAAAACAACTCTTTTCTAATGATGTCTATGTCAAATTTTAATACAATTATAGTTTTAAAAAAAAAAAAAATAAAGCACATGCCAACCCATGAATTTCATGCGCCCTTGTGGGCTAGCTTGGACCCGGCCTAGACCCTTGCAAGTCATGGGTCAGGCTGGGTCAAGCTCCAAATATGAGAACTCGGCTTGGACCACCAAGGCCCGCGTTGGCCCGGATTTGAACTGGCTTAGCAAAAGAGCCCGATCGAGCTGGCTGACGGGTCAAACTTAGCCCGATCCGGTCTACGCCCACCCCTAGGCACCCATTAGAAGATGAGAGAGACAAAAAAAAAAGGAGAGTTAGAAAGAAATTAGTGCCAACTAGGTAGGACTATTTATTATTCATTTATCCCTATCTCTCTCATTTCCTAACTAGCGCACATGAACAACCATTAGAAAAAACCTTTTCGATATTGTTCGAACATGACAATTTGCTTGGTTATGACAATCACAAGAAGTGAGTGAAACTGTTGTCAAGCTACAATAAAAATTGTAGTCAACTGAAGAAAAGTTGCAGAAAACCACCTCTTATCGTCTTTATAAATACTGGGGAAACCTACGAAGATTGAGACAAGTCAAAGTAAGAAATCACCTTCAAAGTCCATCTCCCATTATTTTTGTAATGCTGAAGCTCTAGAATGATTTATTAGCATGCAACCAGTCAACATTAAAGAGTGTCCTGGACCTAAACTATCTTAGAAGACAAATTTGCAAAAAAAAAAAACATATATATGTGCAAATATTAGTGTAAATATCGTCTTTAGAGACATCGGTAAGTCAAATGTCCTGACCTAGGTGTCAAAATATTTCATCCAAAGTTTATACTATGAACAGAAAAACAAACACTCTTTTGCTAAATTGACAATCTGACGAAGTACGAGAAATCAACAAAAAAAATGGTTAAATTAGTTAATACATTGGGAACAAAGGACTAAACTGGGTAATCTGTTATGTTAACACTCAGCTAATTCTTGAGGAAAGGCTTCCCCTTAATGCTCCAATTATTTTACACGCATCCTAGGATTTAATAAAGGGGAGCCCACCCCACAAAACCCCACAAAAAAAACACACACACACACACAAACCCCACCCCACCTCCGGGGGAAAAAAGCGAAGCGAAACGAAACGAAACAAAAAGCCACATGCCACAGACCAATCGGTCGCATGTGGTCAATTCTTGTATGATTCAGTCCTCAAGAACCCATTGATAAAACTTATAGAAGACATCTAACAGTTGAGAATTATTAATACTTCAGAGAAATATTTCACAACCATCGCCAAGAAATTCAGCTCTACTGACTTATTCATTAATACATACTCCTTTTAATGCGGATGAGAATAGGGTATCTGTGAATTATGAGCACGTTTCTCGTGTAAATTATCATGTAGACGTTTTTATCCCCTCCTTTTGGATTCTATACGAGCCTATGAGCTTGTATCACTTTTGAGCATATAGTGGACTAATGACAAAATTTGGAGCAGCTGTTACAAATATATGAAAACAAGAACAACCTACTTCAAACTACCATTTCAACATAAATCAGAACGTAAAAGCATCAACCAAATAATATACTGCAATTATGCTTATTTGTTGGAACAAAGACTGCAAGCTTTACTCCGGCACATACATGAGAGAACGATGTTTGAATTTACGCAAAAATTAGGTCAAGCTTACTGGATGGACACCGAACAAAAAAGATATGTAAAATAAAACTAAATAATTATACATCATGGATACTGATCTTGTATAGTATACAACTATGATACATCTACTTTCAGAATTATCATTGTTATTTCTATGTAACTTCTGTCACATCTCGATGTCCTCCAATTCTGGTAATGGAAATCGGAGAATAGCAGCAATTCCTGTCAGTTGAGCTAGTTCTGTTCAAACACAATAAATTAAGTCATAAACTTGAGGGTTTTTTTTTGGGTCCCCTTTTTCACTTTTTCCTGTAGATGGCATTGATTAGTTCAAAATCCCATCAGACAACATTGAATAATGCATTAATACAGTAGGAAATAATACTTACGCTCTCCGGATACATGCATTGAAGAAAACAGATGTACAGTGCCTCCCGCATCCTTGACAGATTCCACCAACTTTACGTATTTTTTCCTCGTCAAAATATCAGCATTTCTGGGAAGGAGAAACAACCAACTTGCTTAGGTTTAAATTTAAAAATTAGGTCTAAACAAATAATATAAAGTGGAAGCTTGATACAACACTTGCTCCTCATATCCTGTTAAATATACATGTAAAACTCAATAATAGCATGCATATGAAAGAATAATTGAAACAAGATAATGAAAAGGAAAAAAAATGTGGTCGAGGAAAATAGAGATTTGACAGACATCGACAGAGGCAAGATGTGATCTATCAGCTCAACTAGATAATATTTTGTATCAAGAATAGATTTTATGGAAGCAAATATCTTAGGTCCATCGGCCCGGGGGATTGATGTAATAGTAGATAGTTTCATAATATTGCGAAGGGGAGGAGAAAGGCTAACCAAATATCCTTCGTTGAGGAAAGAGTTGAGATAGCATCTGACAAGGGGAGTGCTGAGGTGCTTTTTAAGCATTATAAACAGATTTTTGGGCAGTTGAATGAGAATAAATGTGAGGTGGATTGAGGAAAATTATATCCAGCCCATGATTGGGGGGTTGAAGAGCTAGAAACTCCCTTTTCTTGTCAACAGATTAAACAAGCAACGTTTGACATGAATGGGGATAAATCACCTGGACCTGATGGTTTTTCCACTATATTTTTTCAAGAGTATTACTATTATGAGGTTGTGAAAGATGATATTCTAAGATTGTTTGAGGAGTTTTACGATGGCACTTTAGAAATAGAAAGATTGAATTACGCTTTCATTGTTCTTATTCCTACATTTAGCAGGAGATTATAGGCCAGTAAGTCTGTTGAATGTTGTATATAAGATTATAACTAAAGTTTTGACTAACAGGCTTAATAATAAGCTAAAGCATCTTACTGACCCTGTTCAATCAGGTTTTATACAAGGAAGATTATTGTTGGAAGGGGTAGCAGGCTAGCAGCAGCTTAGAAAATCATAAATAAGAGCTTTTAGAAAAAGAAAATTGGGGGAGTTCTTTTAAAATAGGATTTCGCACAGGCATATGATCTTTTAAATTGGATGGGTTAGGTCATGTTTAGAAAGGGGAAAATCTGCTGTTTTACTTAATCGCAACCCAGGATTTGTTCTAGGAGGGGTGTGAGGCAGGGTGATCCCTCGTCTCCTTTGTTGTTTTGTTCTTGCAGCAGATGTTTTTACTTTGTTGATGATGCTAGGAGAATCAACACTTTGATTCAAGGTTTAGGACCCGAGAGTAGCTCTAGAAAAGTTTTATGCTTGCAATATGCTGATGATACTTTAAATTTTTTAAGTCTAACAGAGGCCAGTTGACTTTTTGAAATTTCTGTGTTTTGAGTTGACTTCTGGCGTAAAGATCAATTTTTCTAAGATTTCTGTGATTT